ATCATTTATCTGTAAAAGTGAATATTTATTCTTTATTGTTACCCTGTTCAACTGTCTGTAATCCATACAAAGTTGGAGGGTCCCATCCTTTTTCTTCACAAATAATACAGGAGCTCCTTAGGGTGAATTAGTCGGACATATGAACCCTTTATTTAGTAATTATTATAGTTGAATCTTCAGTTCTGCTAATTTAGTTGGCGTCATCCTATACGGTGATTGGGCTATCAAAGATGTAATAAGCAATACATCAATAGTGACCTCTAGTTCTCTCTCTAGGGGTACTCCCAGTATTCATCTGATAATACATCAAAAAATTCCTTCACTATTAGAATGTTTGACACTTGAACATCTCCCCTTTCAGTCTCTAAAACATATGCAAGATAACCCTCACATCCTTTTTTAATCATTTTTTTAATGATCATACCTGAGATAATACAGTTTGAGATGACATTTCTCTCCTCCATACACGCTATCTTTTTACCATCAGGTTGTTGAAGAGTTATTATTTTTATGAAATAGTCCATTTAAGCTTTATTCACACTTAACTAGTCCATTCCTAAGATAACATCAAAATCATGTATTTCTAGTGGTAATAAATCTATTTTTAACTCACATCCGCTTACACTAATCTGGATCCCCTTATATATATGGTCAATATTCACAGTTTCACTTAATGGAGTGCTTATAATAAACTCATTTTCTACTTTGCGGGGATTTTTTCCTAATTCCCCCATAAGTTTATTTGCAACAAATGAGTGCGTGACACCTAGATCAAACAATATATGAACAGATAAAGAATTTAATTATAGTGTACCTACCACTATGTTAGAAGCGGCCCTAGTCTCCTTTTGTATCATGTAAAATACTCTACCTTGGTTCGGGCCTTCTATATTCTATCACTCTAGGCATGAGTTCGACCTTTACTGCCACTGCCCCTCAACAAAACCTGTCTAGCTGGTCTATTTAAAGTGGTAGACTATTGTTAACTCTAAGTCTGCTGCTGATTTTAAGTGATTTTAGTCTTGTGGGGATAATTTTTTTGGAAATGCCCTTGACCCCCGCAATAATAACACCCTCAACCTCAATCCATTTATGCTCCCCTTGGTAGATATAACACTGCCCTGATGTTACAGAACAATCTCTTGGGTGCCTTTGCCTACATTGAACACATAAGGGATAAATGATCATTTTATGTTCTGATGCTCCTTTGCAAAAATTACCCCCGAGGTTTGGCTGTCGTCTTGTCAACTCCATTTTAGTAGTTTGAGCTGATGTAAATGATGTACCTCCCACCCTTTTAAACTGACTGTACTGTCATTTCCTTTTGTTTTGAAAAATGGGGTCTGTTAAGTGTGTACTCTTCATCTTTCCGCTTGCCTAGACTGTGCTGGCCTTGTTGGCCCTCTTTCATAGAAGCTTCTAAGGCCTCTCTGCCTTAATAAAGTCTTTAGTAGTCTCAAACTTGAATGCAATCAACCCTTGTCTCGCTCTTGCTGTAATCTATCCCTCAACCTTTACAATCTATGTTGCTCACTAGGGACATAGTGTAAGGCAAACATGGAGAGGTCATGGAACCTCCTCTCATAATCAAGTACAAACATGTCTCCTTGTCTTAGAGCTAGAAACCCTTGCTTCTTAATTTTACGATGATAGGAAGAGTAAAATTGATGTTCAAATTGCACTTTAAACTGAATCCAAGTCTAAGATCCTACAGGTCTCCTCGACCTCACTGTATCCCACTACGATCGTGCTCTATTAGAAAGCAGATGAGTGACACTGTAAGATCTTATATCAGCGGGTGAGGAGTTAGTTGCTGGCTATATTAGTAGTGTTGTTGCTAACTTGTCATACGCGTTTTGGGGCGTTAGACTCAGAAGTGAGTTCATGTTACAAGAAACAAAACCGTGAGGGTGATAAGGCCTAAAGTGGATAATATATGACAGGTTGGGTCGGGTTGTTACATTTAGTATCAGAGCCGATCTTACTGGCTATCCAATGTTGCCGACGAGGTCATCGAGCTCTTTAAAGGGGGTGGATTATAACATCCCACATCGGGGGGTGAGGAGTTAGCTGCCGGCCTTATTAGTAGTACCAATACTAACTTATCATGCGCATTTTAGAGCGTCAGACTTAGAAGTGAGCTCATGTTATCAGGAACATAACCGAGAGGACGGTAAAGCCCAAAACAGACAATATATAACAGGTTAAGCTGGACTGTTACATTTATATTAAATTTAAGATAAATCATAGATAAATAAATTTGTGGCACTAACCAGATATGAATATAAATAAAAAAAATTGTATTTTTTTATATTTTAAAAAGTATTTTTATTAATATTTTTAAGTTTTTTAATATAAAAATACTTTTTAAAAAAAACTTAATTTTTTCTTTGATTGAAAAGCAAATTTTATAATATAATCAAATATGAAAAAAAAACTAAAACTTGTTTTTCCAACAAATAACATAGCCTTTTATAAGAAAATATAATACTTGATCACTATTTGCCTTTTAATTTCATAGGCGCTTATGACACAACTATATTATACATCATGTAACTTTGAAAATAATTATATAACAACTATAATAGATATCAAAATCCATAATATTTTTATATCATATTCTGATGCATTATATAATGAGAATTATTTTAAGACTGAGATTTAAGTAATCTTACATTAACCTGTGCAATTAAATTTTGATTTTAATTAAATAAAAACAATAAGAGCTACATAATTGTAAATCCTAGCCATTTGATGCTATTAAATTTTATTTTTAATTATAGAGGAATAATTACTTGGTGAAAGAGACAATCATATTGTAAGATAATAATGATAATAATAATAATAAATGGAAGAATAAGTTAAAAAATTAAATTATGATTTGCAAGCCATTGGTTAAATATCTTATCTTATCTTCAAAGTGGGATCTAGCATACTTTCATAATAAATAAATGTAAATATTTTATAATTTAAAAGTTATTATTGGTGGTTATTTTTAAAATATTTTTTATAAAGAATTATATTAAAAAATTTACTTTTTATATAGTGAATATAATAAAAAATATTAACAAAATAATTTAATTTTTTTAATAAAAAATAACTTAAAACCAAACCTCGTGTCAGTGAAATTGCATTCAAAAGGCTGCTTCCTATTTTTCAAAATCATGTGTCATGATGATTGCAGATTTATGGCGTAACAAAGGCCATTAATCTTTTCTTTTTTATTCGATGATGCATAGAATAGAAAGAAAGAGAAGAAAAGGGGGAAGAAAAGTTGTACTTTTATCATGTGGTAATCAACAAGTAAAGCTGGGGTGTTATAACAGCAGTGTAAACCGTGTGGGTCCATGTCACACGTGGGGACTGTCTTTCTTTTCTACATAGAATTGGGAATAGAGAGACAAAAGGGAAGATAAATGCAGTTTCTATCGTAATTTATTTATTAATAAAGCATACATACTGATAAAACGCAGGAAACTTATTAATTTATTTTTAATTTCACGGTAAAAATTAATTTTTTTTAAAATAATTTTATAAACATACTCTTGTTTATTAGAATTCTCCGAGACTTTTGTATAGATACCTACCTGGTTTCTGACCATTGCTTCGATCTTTGACTATCTACTGATCAGATTGGATGTAGAATCCAATCAAAGGAAGGGAAAAAAAGAAGAAGATAATATAGAGGACAAAATCACCATTCCAGTGGCAGAAGTGTAATTCTGAGAGATTAAAAGGTTATACGCTGTTATAAATTCTGCGCCTGTCTGATTCTGTGGGAAGGAAACCGACAGACCATCTGCTTACACTGGCGATAACTTGTGTCTATACATATGGCTTTCGTTGGTGACTCAGAGAGGGAGGGAGGAAAGCAGGAGAGGAAGTCAAGCCTGTGAAAAGAAAGTGCAAATCTAAGAAGGTATGTATGCCAGCAATGAAAACCCATCAGAATTCTGATACCTCTTAAGCCCCACTATTCTATGATATCTCAATCTTGCTTCTTCTTCTTCTTTTTGATTTACGCGGAGCTGAAATTGCAGTTAAAAGTTTTTGTTTTTGAAAGTGGCTTAAAAGATGGATTTTCTTTTCTCGTTTTGCTTTGCTTTGATTTGTGTTACCCTTTTCTGCTGTCGTTTAATATTCTTCCTGTCTCCTACAAAGCAATATTTATTACATGAATTTGACTCTTTGTTATGGGAATTTCCTACTGACATGAGTTTGAATCTTTGTTATGGGAATTTCCTACTAACTTGCAGAGTGGGGAATTTGTTATTGATGCTAGAGTAAAGTATTTTAATTTAATTTCTTGAAAGTCAAATAAATTCACCATTGGTGGTCAAAGCTGCTAGAGTTTACCAGCCCCGGTCACGATTTTGTGCTTAAATGGATTACAGTTAGTATATTCTTGGCGATCTGTACTTCTGTGTTCCACTTTCATAAGAATTGGGAATATGAAGGTGGTTTTGAAAGTATTGTTCTTAAATTCGTTTTGGTTCTTCACCCCTGCAAATCTGAAATGCTTATATTCTTGCTTTGCTAGCAATAATGTACGTATTACTTTAAAACTCTTGTTTTTTTGTTTAACTGCTTGATCTGCTAGGATTTTGGTCTAAAAACTGCTCGAATAGTTTGGTGTCTGGATTTTTGTTAATAGGACTATGCATATCCCAAGAATATGTGTTAGAAATTATCTACTGCACTCAGTTATGCTATCTTTCTTGCTAAGATAGCTTTCCGATCCTGTTTTGGTATAAACAGGCTTTAACTTCTTGATGTAAATTTTTCTTTGGAATCTGTTTCACATGCAACTATTTGTGGTACAACCTTCAGAAATACTTCCAGATTGCTGAAATGATTGATGGTTTCCACCATCTCTCAGAAACTTTTGGAAATTCAAAGTCAGTTATTTATTCCTTCTAGTGTCCTCAAATTCTCTTCAAATATGGTCGGTTGGACTCCTTGATAGATATATGTCATCTATGCTTTTATGAGATGAGTCTACTCTGATGTTCTTAGAAGAAGATTGAGAAAAACTAGGATGTTGCTGTACCCTCTCCACCTGCGTTTCCTTTCCTGGGAGCAGGTTCAGGAAGACTATCATTGCCAAGATTTATTTCTTAGCATCAACTACCTTCCCTTCTTAAGAAAAGCTAATCACTCCTATCAAAAGACTGTTAACTAGCAATTTGAGTCAAACTAGTATAAAGTGGTAGTTGAATAGTGGAGGATATATTCGTTTTGCCCTGTGAAAAACTGAACCTGCAAGGACTTTGTTATGTAGCTAATCATGTTTTTGGTCCACAACCAAATAACTCCACTCCTTCATGGTATGCTTCTAGTATTTGTTGCACATGTACAGCTATTTGTGTAAACTTGATTTCTTCTTATCCGCCACTATGAGCACTATGATATGCGTTGCCCTTTTCTTTTAATCACATTTGCTACAACAGTTTTTTTTCTCAACTCTTTTCAGATTAGGCCAGTTTCTTGGTATGATATCAGTGCCTACAAGAATCTATTTGTTAGCTGAAAAATGATGATGGAATCATGCTATTCACTCTAAACAAGATTTGAGATTTGTCTAGATTCAAGAAAATTTGTATCAGAAAGGTTTCCTGGTATTGCTGTGAAGAGCTTTGTTGGCAACAAATTGGCTATTCTACAATGCAAACATCCCAGAAGAAAACAATTTCAGATGGGTCTCGTAGGTATGGTGACCAACCTATGCAATATCAGGAGTCCTATTGTTGGCCGCCCATCCAGAATATTGATGCAGGAAGTCAAGGGATGCACCTTTCACCTATGACTTTTGATCAAAACTGTACCCTAGAATCATCCTCTGAAACTAGTGCTTACCCAGTTCACAATTCTCCATCCACAGCTAGTTTCTCGCCAAATGAAAGTGTGGTTTCACAGCCAAATTCTCAGTCATATCCTTCAGATCTGCAGGATTCCTCTGAGAATGCTTGTGGTTCACCAACAAGTGAGTCTTATGTCACCCACAAGTTAAGAGAACTGGAAACTGCTATGCTGGGGCCTGATTCAGATAATCTTGACATGTACAACATGACTGCAATGCCTGGACCCAACCAGATTGTATCTGAGGCAGAGAAATGGAAGGTTTTGGTTGAGATGATGTCCAGAGGAGACTTGAAAGAAGCACTTTGCAGTTGTGCTCTAGCCATTGCAAATGGTGATATGTTCACGGTTGAATGGTTAATGTCAGAGTTACGCCAGATGGTGTCAGTTACTGGTGAGCCTATCCAACGTTTGGGAGCATACATGCTGGAAGGGCTTGTTGCAAGGTTGGCATCATCAGGAAGTTCTATCTACAATGCCCTGAGGTGTAAGGAGCCTGCTGGTGCTGATCTCCTTTCCTACATGCTTTTACTCTATGAAGCCTGCCCATACTTCAAGTTTGGGTATATGTCAGCAAATGGAGCAATTGCTGATGCAATGAAGGATGAAATTAGTGTCCATATAATTGATTTTCAAATTGCTCAAGGCAGCCAGTGGGTCACCTTAATCCAGGCTCTTGCAGCACGGCCTGGAGGACCCCCACGTATTCGGATTACAGGAATTGATGATTCCACATCAGCTTATGCCCGGGGAGGAGGACTTGATATAGTGGGGAAGAGACTGTTGAAGCTTGCTGAGTCATACAAGGTACCATTTGAGTTCCATACTGCTGGAGTTTCTGCTTCTGAAATTCAAATTGAAAATCTTGGAATTCAACCCGGGGAAGCTGTGGCAGTTAATTTTGCATTAACGCTCCACCACTTGCCAGATGAAAGTGTGGGCACTCAAAATCATCGGGACAGGTTATTGAGGCTGGTTAAATCCTTGTCTCCCAAGGTGGTAACTCTTGTTGAACAAGAATCTAATACTAATACAGTCCCTTTCTTTGCCCGATTTGTTGAGACACTAAACTATTATCTAGCTATCTTTGAATCAATTGATGTTACATTACCAAGAGAAAACAAGGAACGAATCAATGTTGAACAGCACTGTCTTGCTCGGGAGGTTGTTAATATTATAGCATGTGAGGGTGCTGAAAGAGTCGAACGCCATGAACCTCTTGGCAAGTGGAGATCTCGGTTTGAGATGGCTGGATTTACACCTTATCCACTAAGCTCCTTTGTCAATTCTACTATCAAGATTCTGCTGGAGAACTACTCGGAAAAGTATACTCTTGAAGAGAGAGATGGAGCTCTCTTTCTTGGCTGGATGAACCGACCTTTGGTTGCCTCTTGTGCATGGAGATGATACATGGATATCAGATTGACAAGTCTATTCTTCATATGGCAATTTGAGGTACAGGACCCTCTTTCATGTTGTTGTTTGTAGTTTAATAGCAAAGCAATGTTGTGATATCACGGATTAACCAGGAATAAACTTGCCCTGTTACAGTCTTTCCCAGATATTCTGTTGCTTAGCTTTGATCTCATTTTTGCATTGCATATTAGCTAAAGGTTGCAATACAAGAGAGTTGAGTTTTAATGAACCTATGCCAGCTACTGCTTAACTCGTGCATTGATAGTTTTCTAGTGCGTGAGTATCATGCTGTTATGCATTTGTTGTTGGCAGTGTTTAGTCAAACTAAGTATGGTTTAAGTACAAGAAATGACACCTAGAATGCATTTCTGAAATCACAGACAAAAACTATGACAAAGCAGGGAAGTACAGCACATGGATTTCTTACGATCACAGATTCTGGGTAGGAGTGCATCCCCTTCACTTCCACTGGAATCACACTGTTCTTATCCCATCCACCTTATCGATCACTGTCCCAGCAATTATCCTGTACACAGTTACAGGCTTACAGCCCTTTCCATTTTCTTTGAAAAGGGTAGCATGTTATCACAAAGTTCCTTGCTGCTTGTACTCAACCAAATCCTTTTGTTGTTGGTGTATTCTGTGTCAAAATTAGATTGAATTATTCTGCAGATACCTACAAGCAGGATCCCTTGGATTTTTTGCTGCAACAGGCATTGTTGTGCGACAGGATATTGCTGTGCCATAGAATAGCAAAAGCTCGTTTCCATCTACAATGCTTCTTGGATGTCTCTTCTGTTGCTCATACGCATGTTTTTTTAGTCTCCCTCTATTTCTCACAAACCTTTCCAGAATTTCTTTGGATTTCACCTCTAAGATTCTTTTCATCATCTGTAAGATGTTCCTTGCTGGATCTAATATTTAGCTCTGTTCAGAACGCAAAGAAAATCACCATGTTGTGGGATAAATCATTTTGAAGGATTTCTAGGATAGTAATAGGATCATGCATGTGAACGTAAAGGTGCACCTTGTAAGTATATAGAAACACAAATAATCGGAGCCGTAAAGAAACAATCAAATCGCAAGACCCCATACAGAGGCTATATGTTATCACGTGTGATCACACCGCAAAAGGAGACCAATTGTTTTCCCCCGGGTAGCTAGCTAGCACACAAGTGCCGTCTTTTCATTGCTTTGTCTCCCTTACCCTCTTTTCTTGGTTTTGAAATATTAGCAGTCGTGTGTATATAGTCAGCTAACAAAGAAGGAAAGACAGTGAAGCTACGTAATTTGCTCCCTCCATTATTAAAAGTGTTTGTCAACTGGTTTGTATGTAAAACGTGTTATTTATTCAAAGGAAATCAGATTGACTGCACTAAGGATATAATTAAAATTACAATCACATTAAATTTATTTTTTAAAAAAAACTACAAGGTATCGATAGTTTTTTCTGGAATCCACAGTGATTGCTTTTTTTTCTTTTATTATTGTTTTGGTAATTGAACTTTTTTCTCCTTGAATTGAGCCTTTTGTAGTTAAACTGGTAGCCAGTTGCCTTTGAATTGTTAAACAAGAGCCAATTTGAAAGAAAGCAGAATAAGGTGAAGAAAACAGGTACATGGATGGTTGTTTTAAAAGTGACGTGAAAAGTTCACTTTGGTTCTTTTACTTTTGAATCTCTAAATTTTTAGTCCCTGCATCTTTTGAAAATTCAATTTAGTCCAAAACTTTATTTGTCTTAGTTTTTAGTTCTTGTTTTGAGAGAGAGAGACAGAAAGAGAGTTAGTCATCATTTTTTAGTTGACATTGATCCTGACCATGAAAATAATTAATTTAGGTGTTAATAAGTCTCATTTGATGAAAATAAAATTTTATTGAAGATGTGGTTTGACATTTTCATCACATAAAAAGATATACCTGGGTATGAGAAGTTTTTTAAATCCAAGTTGATTTTGAATTTTAAGATTAATTCTAGATTTATGTAAAACCATAAACAAGTTTGTCAAAAATTTTATAATGTTTTTTAGATATTTCAGATAAAAAATAGTTCAAAAACTAAATTTATAAATAAAAAATATCTTTACTTTTATTTTTAAATAGGTGGGTATAGCCTCTTTTTAATGTTGTAGACACACAAGACTACACCCACACCCATGCCTAGCCACTTTTGTTTTATTTTTAAATTTTTATTTTTATTTTATTTTATTTTATATTTTGATCCATTCAAATAAATTGACAAAAAATAACTTGATTTTATATTTTGGGATATTGAAGTTTCAATTATTTTTAATGAAATCATACTTTACATATGTACATACGTGTGTGTCTATATATATATATAAAGTTAGGGTTCCTTTTATGTAGCTTTTTATAATTATTTGTTTTATATATTGTTTGATCTTGGCTCTCGATGATTGTTGATGATGTATGTTTTTACTATCTAATGGCTGCACCCTTTTGTCTTGCTAAATAAAAAAATCCATCCCGCGCGGGTGTGCTCGTGTCTTCCTAATTCCCATGCTTGGAAGTTGGAAGTTGGTAGTTGGTACCTGTCCCCCTTATTATGACTCTTTTTATCTTCAAAACATCTCGTTGTCCTAAATTAATAACCAACGAGTCATCAATTGGCACGTGTTTCGCTGCACGTCGCACTAACTTTCTGAGACCTTGCAATCAAATTCTTTTACGACTTGATTCCTTATGGTTGGTATGACCTTATGGTTGGTATGAAATAGAAAAATCAACTGAATTGGCTAACTCAAATATTTGAAACTTTAAATCGAATCAGATTCAATTTTTATTTAAATTAAACGGGTTTAATTTGGTAAAATTCAATTTTTTTATTATAAAACTAGAGAATTTAATCATAATAATATTAATAGGATTTTTTGAATTGTTTTTAATGGATTTATATTAAATTATACTTTTAGATTTTTTGGGCTAAGTTTATAGGCTTTTTAATCAAAATTCTTTAAAATTTTCTAATTTAGTTTGTTTTGTTATATGTTTTTAATCAAATTAATAGATTGATATTTTTTAATTTAATTTTCTTAATTAACCTTAAATATATATCATAACAATAAATTTAAAATGCTTCATATCTTGTTATCTTTAATATGCAAAAAAATAGACTATAAAAATCTAAATCAATGCAATATGCAATATGTATGATTAAATTTAAGCAACTCGAATTAAAAGAGGTTTTCACATTAGAAAAGTTAATATTTGAAAATTCAAACTGAATCAGATTGAATTCCTATTTAAACTGAACAGGTTTAGTTTGGTAAAATTTAGTTTTTTTTGTTATAAAACTAGAAAATTTAATCATAATAATATTAATGGGGTTTATTGAATTGTTTTTAATGGATTTATATTAAATTGTACTTTTAATTTTTTTTGGGCTAAGTTTATAGGCTTTTTAATCAAAATTCGTTAAAATTTTCTAATTTAGTTTAGTTTGTTATATGTTTTTAATCAAATTACTAGATTGATATTTTTTAAATTTAATTTTCTTAATTAACCTTAAATATATACCAGTAACAATAAATTTAAAATGCTTCATATCTTGCTATCTTTAATATGCAAAAAAAATAGACTATGAAAATCCAAATCAATGCAATATACAACATGTATGATTAAATTTAGGCACCTTAAATTAAAAGAGGTGTTCATATTAGAAAAGTTAATATTTGAAAATCCAAACCGAATCATATTGAATTCCTATTTAAATTGATCGGGTTTAGTTTGGTAAAATTCAATTTTTTTGTTATAAAACTAGAAAATTTAATCATAATAATATTAATGGGATTTTTTGAATTGTTTTTAATGGATTTATATTAAATTGTACTGTTAAATTTTTTTGGGCTAAGTTTATAGGCTTTTTAATTAAAATTCTTTAAAATTTTTTAATTTAGTTTAGTTTGTTATATGTTTTTAATCAAATTAATAGATTGATATTTTTTAATTTAATTTTCTTAATTAACCTTAAATATATACCAGTAACAATAAAATTAAAATGCTTCATATCTTGGTATCTTTAATATGCAAATAAATAGACTATGAAAATCCAAATTAATGCAATATGCAAAATGTATGATTAAATTTAGGCACCTCAAATTAAAAGAAGTGTTCATATTAGAAAAGTTTACATTAGCAAACAGATGTATTAGCAACCAACAATAAATTATCATAAATATTCAGTATAATTTGAAGAAAAAAAATCTAGCACCAGCACTTCTCAGCATCCAAAAATTTCATCAACAACAAAAGCTAAAAGATCTAGCAAGGATAATGCTATAAAAAAACACTAGCAAATTAGCAACATATTAGAGATTGACTATTAAAAGAGTTAATAATGCATAATTTTAAAGGGAATTAACAAAGAAAAGTAAATCAATTATCCAAAACAATTATATTTTAGGATTGCATTAACATCATTAATACTACTTATAATCAATTGAGATTTTCAACTTTTATCAAATTATAGAAAATCATAAATTAAAATGTTAGATTAACAATAAAAAAAATGATATTATGAAATAAATACACTTAAATTTGTAAGAGAAATTACCTGACTCAATCATCTTGAAATTTTCAATATAATCCATGAAAGTTCTTATGTTGATTAAAATTGGTGCTAAACATAACCAATTTGGACAACAAACAAGTGTTCGCACTATCGATAAAGATAAAGAGTTTCAAAATGGATCTAATATAGGACCGCCAATATTGAAGGCTGCTTCAAGAACAATCAAAGATACTGGGATAGCTAACCATCTAGGTAGTGGCCAAGTGGTAAGAACTTGGGATCAAGGGGTTTGCTCCCTCTGTGGTTTCAGGTTCGAGTCCTTGGTTGCTCATATGATGGCCACTGGAGGCTTACATGGTCGTTAACTTCAGGGCCCGTGGGATTAGTCGTGGTGCGCGCAAGCTGGCCCGGACACCCATGTTAATCTAAAAAAAAAGATACTGGGATAGCTAACATGTGTTGTGCAACCTTAGAAAAAATCTTGTATTTTGTAGTATTACACTTTCACCAACTTAAAATATGTAATTTAAAGTCATTAAGATCATCACAATTATCACCCAAATACCTATTAACCTCATTTTTTCTTTCTTCACCACCTTCTTCCTATAAATGTTTTTTAAATTGAAAAGTTAAGTCATCTAGCATTTCATTGATTGACATGACTAAAAGATTGATATCTTCTTCCAAGTGTAGGAGTGTTG